TTACCAATATTTGGTTGTTAATGTATCTTGATGCTTTGGTGGCTCTACATAAACTGCATCTGTAAGGAAGGAATTAGATTTTAATGAAAACTGGTTATTACATAGTCTACTACTACTATATAGTCTTTCTTTTGCTAGGATAGGTGAATCAATTACTGTGCCTACAAATGAGATGCCTAACTTATATCACCTGACAATTATTATTTGGGCTGCGGTGAGGCAGGTTTTTCAAAAAGCTTTGCACCATCATATACAAAAAGCTACAAGATTCAAACGACAATGCAGGAAAAAAAAATGTGATTATTCCCCAACCCCAGTATAACATTTGTACTTAATCTAGTTTTCTATTCCAGCAGTGGGCCCAACCCACCAGAAAACATCTGTTCATTGCCTGCTAACCTGTGTAAAGCTGAACCACTCCAGGAATGACTGGGGGACCCCCCCCCCCCCCTTTCCATTTTTTTTTTTGCCAAATCTGCCTGACCTGCATTTCTTAACTGCTCTCCATTTGTCTATCCTTCTCCCTTTATTTTTTGCAGGCTGCAGTCTATCAAAAGCCACCATCCTTACAGAGTAAGCCCATCACATTTTCCAGTGTGGGAATAGATGACAATGACCCTAATGAGATCCAAGTGATGACACCCTGGGCCAAAAGGAAGGTGCAGTTTTACTTAGTGCCACATTCTTTTAGGGCAGGGGTGCCAAATCCATACTACAGGACCCCTTGCAGGCCAGATCCAGCCCAGGGCACAAGGAACAGGGAGAGGAAGTTCCAGTTCTGAGCCAGAGCTGCTGCTGAATGCCCCAGGTTGGAGCTAGAGCTCAGTCTCCAACTCTAGCCCAAGTTATGCTCCAGCACCAGAGGCTAGGGAAGTAGGACTGTGGCAGTGGCACCAGGTAAAGCAGCCATAGAGCAACTGGGGCTGTGTCATCTCTCATTCATGTCTGCCATGTCCACAGGGGCCCTGGATTGTAGCAGGCCACGCCCCTCACTTCTGGTGGCCCACAGGTAGTCCAGTGCGCCAGATAAAGCAGCTCTGTGGGCTGTATGTTTGACACCTCCGTTTTAGTGGATTCTTTTCAACTCCAGAGGTAAAGAGAATGGCAGTCCTGCCCCCCCCCCCCCAAGTCTGTTAAAGCTTACAGGACCATGAAATAACTAAAACTAGACCTTTTTGCTATTGACAAACTGGATACTCAATACAAGCTAGGACATTCTACTGGAGCACACGAAGAATGTAAAATTCCTAAAGATACTTGTTAAACTACAATTCATTTACTTGCTCTTACTGTAACTAGAATTTTCCTTTAATGTTTAAAGCTCACATTAAAAAAAAAAAAATCACCACCTGAGTTCCAGAAACAGGTGCAAAGGGATTTGTTGCCCTTAGGCCTGGCTGTGTATAAATCATTGGCTGGGGTGCCATCAGAGGAGCCGGTGCAATCTGAGTCGGTACCTATAGAATAGAGTGATTAAACAATAGCCCAAAAGAGCACATTACAACCATAAAGTGAATCCATGAACTGAAACTTTGTACACTGAATCCAATAAAAAGCAACACACACAAACATGGAGCTCCTTTATTTTGTCTTAGGGTGAACAAATATGGGACAAGTCAAGTATATTAAGGTGTGATATTTGACAATGTATATAATTAGTGTTAGAAGAAATTAAATGAATCAAACAAGCTGCTTACCATCCCATACACAGGCACTTGAGGTGTGGTAACTGGATAAGTCATTGGAGCAGGTACCTTTAACAGCAAAAAAAAAGAAAGAAAAAATACTAGTTACCTAGAAAAACAACAGCTCTACTGGTAACACATCTTTATTTTACAGAGTACATTGTACTTTGTGTCGTACTTAATATAGGTTACATGTTGATGAGAAAGTAACTTACATATCCAGGATAATGTACTCCATTCTGGCATGGCAAAAAGGAGCAAGGACAGAAAATTATTTAAGAATATTGAAACTAGACAACCCAGGAATAGGTACCAAAATGAACTACATCTCATCTTGTTGTGAACACTAAATTTAGTGTTCAGTGTTGAACTAGAACAGTTAGTGTAATATAATATGCTGTAACTGCAAAAGCACAATTGAAATCCAAACAATAAAAAAGTTACATTAATCAGGCAATTTGTATAGAAAAGGGGAACATTTTATCTAAGGGAGGTGGGTGGTCGGGCTAACAACAGAAGTGCTGATTAGGTTTTTGCTAAAACAAGCCGCATATGAGCGCTTCTGCTAGCTTTTCAAACATTTGGGGTACAAGACTTTGAAGCTCCACTTCAAGCATCCATGCAAACAACAGCGTGTAGGGCATGCTATATAAAAGTGTATTCATGTACACAAAGCCTGCTGGTTTTGTTTTAACTTTATACACATGCACACACCCATCACATAGTTATGGCCAAGTATTAGGTACAAGGAGAGAGAAAAAAGCTAGCAACCATTCAACAAACAAACAGGGAACCCTTGAACAACACTGATTCTTTGCCTATTGACACCTTCCATATAATCCTTGTATTTGCAGGGGGTTAAGTACTGAACAGCAAAGGGAAAAAAAGAAAGTCAGCAGTGGGAGCAGCCACTTCTAAATTCATTTCTGCGTGACATAAAAGCCAAATGTGAGGAGTGCACATCATGGAGGAGCAGTCATGGTTGCATAAGAGAAAGATACAACTGATGTGGCACCTGAAAGAAAGCATGACCTGGCTACAACATACACAAACGCAGGCTCTATACCACAGAATGCAAATTGAGGACTGTGACAAATTATACATATAAAGGCAAGACAGTAAGAGAAGGATTAAGCATTTATTAAATTAAGAATCAAGCCTACATTTTAAAACAGTCATGCCTTTGAAGAGACACTGAGAAAGAGGCAGACAATGGATAATATCAAGAATACACACAGTGGTAACTTGAAGGCACATGTGTACTGTGCAGGATTTCCTACCTGTATTTTTGGGAGGGGTTGGGGAGGTGAAGGGTGGGGTGGGAAAGAGGGCAGCAAAGGTAGGATTTATTAGCTCACGCTAGCAACACAAATAACTCCGAAAGGAAGATCAAACTTTAAATGGTGTGCCTATACTGCCACAAACCTGTGCTAAGCACCACCATAGTGAGGCAAGCAACACCTACTCCACACGCCACCTCCTTACACAAACAGGACGGAAATGCATCAGTAAACACTCCTGAGAGACTAAGCTTTTTACTACGTGCCCAGAACATCCTCAAGGCCTGGCATCACATTCATTTCAATAGGTAGCAAACATGAAGAGCTTCACTGGGGTGGTTTATACCAGGGCCTTCTGTGATGAAAACATGCCTCAAGTCAGACATTTGCAGTAAGTTGTGGAAGACTTTTAATCAGCATTCCAGGCCTACTTTCTTCAAAGCTGTCATTTCAGGAGACACCATTAGTACATTTGTAAGCAAGAGACAGGAAGATGGTCTGAGTTCTTAAAGGTTCAGGACAAGAATAAGTAACCTAGAACATCTCTGGCTCCTGACTCTACAAAAAATAGAAACTGCATAATTTAAACAGCTACACGTTATCATTATCCATTTATTTTTAGTTGGTGATATTGTGAACGCAGGCCAGAAGTTGCTACTGAATGACCCACACTAAGCAGAAATTGAAATATTCTTTAATATCATTTAGGACTTTTTATTTATTCAGTTTCAGTGTAACTTTTGTCTCAACTATTTATATGATTTGCCTTATAGCTATCAGGATGCTTGTCCTTGTTTTGGGCAACATATAAAAGTGAACTGTGAGTAGACAAAAGCACAGTCTGTGTACTACATTATTATTTAATAACTTACCAAAAATCCATATATACATCCCCCCCCCCCGCAAACACATGGCATACAACCTTTTTCTACCCTGCACAGAAAAGTAAAATTTTCAAGAGTGCTTAAGCAGTTCAAGAATCTTGCAAACACTAAGTGATAGAAGTGCCTAAATATTTTTGTGTATATATATGTTTTTCTATCTAGGATCAGTATTTCAAGATGTTCAATAACTGGTACTTTAAAATGTACTCAAGTGAGCACTGAAGTGTTTGAAGAACACAAAAAAAAACAAAACCTATCCTTTCTTCAGCTTCTTTTGATGTACTCGAGGGATCTGTTGCAATTCTACACCATGGATATAAAAGCACTCGGGTACTTATGCAGCAGACAAGTTATTTAACCGGGGAAGCAAAGAACAAGATAAGACTCATCTTTATTTAGTTTGTCTTGAAAACAAAAAAGGAATGGGTATAATGCTCTGCATGTTTCTTACTTCTATGAGTGGTATGACAAAGTATTCCAGTTCATAGCTGACTCAGGGATCTTCAATACATTCAAGTGTAGCAAAACCCCGTTTTTCTTTTTTTCTTTTTCTTTTAAAATGCATTCCCTTCCCTTCCCCAACCATTTCTGACTTTTTCTTTTCCTCTCTATTCCCTATAAATAAGTATAAGTGAGCTAAGACATAGGATAAACTTCAGCATTATTTTGGTAACAAGTTGTATTTGTTTTTTTTTCCTCCTTCTTTATATTGTATAATTATTATGTTTATATTGATTTTTACTGTTCTATATTACTGTTCTACTGGTACTACAGGATTTAGGCCTACACATGTAAGTTAGCATAAGTCATGTCAAGTTTCCATTTTGTTTGTCAAGTCTCCATCCTGTCCCCAGGCCCGGCTGTGTAACCCATGATTCACACCTACCCCTCCTATGCAACTTGGTTCCTGAATGAGTGGGGATGAATGATGATGCTTGAGAGACCATGGCAAAAGGTCTAAAAATAGCTCCCTATGAATGACCGAACCATCAACACCAATACCTGGACCAGTGACCCAGCCCTTGGAACCACCCTTAGCATTCAAGAA